CCAAGCTTATCTGTCCTGGGTATATTGTGAAAAGAGTTAAAATCACCATATTATACTGATGCATGCATACTGATACTCAAAGCAGGCCAATTTGTAAGAGCTAAGCCCAAGAATCAGTTTGATGTCCATCCCTGGGTGGATGCATGCATGCAGAAATTGTTGATATGCTTAGTGTGATGGTACATTCTTGTCAGCCCAGCATTCACGGGAGCAGATTCTGCAGGCTGGCAAGTTGAAGTTCAGCCTGAACCAGTTAATCATCAATGAATATCTCACAAAATAAGAAATCAAAAAGGTGGAGCTTTTTTACTAATTTCTCTTTAATTCCTAACACTGTAAAGAGAAGAAAATGTGCTGTATAATAAGCCAAAAAGGTGAATAGTATCATGTCATTTGCCAAGAGAAATAGGTCGGTATTCATCACATTATGTTAGCTGAAATAATCCAGGCAAAAAAATGTAAATCGTCATGTGGTTTCCATTCTATGAAAAACCAAAATTATAAATTAGTAAAATAAAGAAGAGGTGATAGAAAAAAGAAAAGCTGGTGTTTTGGAGATGGGAAAAACAAACAGGGTAAGGACAGAAGGGGTACAGTGATGGGTAAAGGGTATTGAAATGATCAGTATAAGAAACACCTATGTGCAAGTTGCCCAAAATGAAGATAAACTTCATTTTGAGGGGGGTACTGAACTCAGGACCTTGTGCTTCTGAGGCAGGCATGGTGCCACTAAGATTAAACCCCAGCCCTAAACTTTCTGTGTTTGGAAATATACAAAGCTAAAAATTAGTATATGCATCCTACTGTTGTGGAAAGTGGTGATGTGAAGATTCTCTTCAAGACATCCTGTTAATTCATTGTGTAAATTTCTTAGCAGGCATCAAACAGAACTTCTTCTGGTAAATCATTAACATGGAGACCCACTCTGTTGTGACTTGTTCTTTACAGAAATGAAGATGTAGAGAAATACCATCGATATAAAGCTTGGAATCAATAGAAAGAAACGTTCCTTTGGACTCCAATTGTCCATGTGCACAGTAAACAAGCTGCTTCAACACCAGCTGAAAGCCTTGCTTGTAGTGAGGCTCTGATTAGTCATTTGTCAGAAAATGAAGAACTATTTCTCAGGACATCAGTTGCTATTGTGGATCTGAAACAAGCTGATTTAACAGATTGCTAACAGGATGCTTCTGATTGGTCATTTGTCACAAAATATGCCCATCATAGCTCGCACTGCACTGAAGCCATATAAATAATTGAGACCCAAAGATAATCTAAATAAAGGCAATCAATATGGAAGAAACTGCAGTGATTTCTAGTCCTTTAAGAATCATGCAAGGACAAAGGCTGGAGAGAAACCCTGTGAATGTTATCAGTGTGGGAAATCCTACTGTGATCTTCATGAGAGACCTCATTTTAGAGAGAAAGCCTTTGTATGTAAGAAAAATTTGAAAGTTTCTGGCACACACTATGATGGTCAGATTGATGAAAGAAATCACAATGCAGGGAAATCCTATGTATGAAAACAAATTGGGAAAGCTTTCACCCATGTAGATGTTGTCAAATACATGAAAGAGCTCACACTGGGGACAACCCCTATGTATTTAAGCAATGTGGAAAAGCTTTCCACACATATAGTACTTTTAGGAGCTCACCCTAGGAGAAACCCTATGTTTGTTAGCAATGTGAGAAAGCTTTCAGTGCAAGCAGTTATTGTCAAACACATGAAAAATTCCTACTGAGGATAAACCCTATGAATGTAAGCAGTGCAGGAAAACTTTTATCACACCTATTGCTTGTCAAAGACATGAAAGGACTCCCACTGGGAAGAAAGCCTATGTGTGTAAGCAATGTGGGAAATCTTTTAGCACATGTAGTTCACACTAGGGAGAAACCCTATTCCTGTAAGCACTGTGGGAAGTGCAGAAAAAGTGTTTGTGAAAAGCATGAAAGGACTCACACTGGCGAGAAACCTTATGGGAAAGCTCTCACCAAATGTAGATTTTTTTCAGATATATGAAAGAGCTCACAGCGGAAGACACTGTATATATGCAACAAGTGGGAAAGCTTTTCAAACTGTTAATACTGTCAAAGACAACAAAGAATCCACAGAGGGGAGAAACCTTATATATGTATGCAATGTGGGAAGGCTTTCAGCACTAGTGGTTATGGTTGAACACATGAAAGAGTTTACACTGGGGAAAAATGTAACGTTTGAAGCAATGTGGGGAAACTTTCCACTGAAGCAGTTAGGGCCAATAATGTAAAAGAGCTCACACTAGGGAGAAGCCTCACATGTATAAGTGATTTGGAAAAGCTTTCATCACACATGGTGATTGTGAAAAACATGAAAGACCTCTTACAGGATTTTAATCATACATACTTAAGGTATGTGAAAACTTTCAGCACTCATGGTTGTCAAATAAAGGAAAAACTCACTGGGGAGAAACTATGAATATATAAGTAATGTGGGATAGGTCTCAGTTTACACAAATTGTTAATTTCATGAAGAAGTCTCACTGGGGAGAAGCTCTATATATGTGTGCCCATTTTTAAAATCCTGTGAAAAATCATCATGTTGTGGAGACCTCTAGAAATAATTAAAATAAATAAATTTAATGTCAATACTTTTTTTTTTTTTTGAGACAGGGTCTCACTATGTAGTTGAGACTGACCTGGAACTCACTACGTAGTCCAACCTGGTCTCGAACTCACAGTGATCCTCCCGCCTCAGCCTCCGAGTACTGAGATTACAGACATGCGCCACCACCATTTGATGTCAGTATTTCTTTGCACAGGAGCATTGCCATGAATTTGAGGCCAGCCTGGCCTACAGAGGGAGTTCATAGCCAGCCTGAACCACAAAGGAAGACAAATTTCTCTGCAAATTACCCAGAAAATACAAATCCCAGATGGAAATATCCTAAAGTACATATATATTGTGTGGATTTCAGTAAATCACTTACAAATATCTACACTATGTATCTGTCTGGTTTCACAAAAAAATATTGAGTTGATATAATTCTGTGTTTTTTGAGTGCCTTTGTACTTAATCCACAGTGTCTTAATTAATTACACATGGTGAATTACAATGTGCTTTTTAACTTTGAAGTACAGTTAGTGTCTATGTACTTACTGTTTGGTCTTTAAATCAGGAGGTATGGAGCACTGAAAACTTAATTTTTTAAATGTTGTCTTGTTACTTGTTGGGATTTTGCCAGTACATTTGTTTTGACTTTTTAGTGCCCGTACTCTATATGCTGTGTAACAAAAGATATTTTTGAATTTGATGCTATATTTTATATTAAGATAAACGTTTTCTGACAATTATGACAATGTGTTTTTGACAAAGTGGAGTTGTTTTCACAGAACTTGTAGATTAGCAAATGTTACATTTTTCATACTGTGACCAGATAACTACTTCTATCCAACATCATTGTATATTATGTGCAAAATGTTGTACGTTTTTCTTATTGGAAGCAACATCATCATTTAGATAAATTTTAATGTTTTCTTATCATCCGAATCTTACTTTTGTGTTTCTATTGTTGTTAGGGACCTGATGCCACCATCACAGGCTGCATTCTCCTGGTTCTTCTTGCCTCTTAAAATGACCTCATGCTCTTATCTTTAGTTTCCCTCCCCCTAAGGCCACAGTGGCATCTGGAGGAGTTAAACCTAAGTTTCTTCAGGACTGGCCCCATGGAAGGCAACCTGGCCTGTAATAGGTTAAAAATATCCCACTCTTCATAAATAAGCAATAGCCCAGCTCAAAACCAATAAAAGGACCTTCATTTCTTTGTTCGTCCTTCCTCTCTCTCCCTCTCTCCCTCTCTTCCCTCTCTCCTTTTCCCTGACCTGCCTTCCCGGATAAAGTCTCCTGTGGGATCTCTCGGTGTGTGGCCTAGTTCTTGAGCATTGCTGTGCCTCTACAATTGTGATGATTTTTAATTTGGTGTTAATTTTTCCACCTTGTGTAACAAAAGTAAACCATACTGCTGTGAGTTTTGGGTTGCCACAGACCAGCAGGACCATAACTTGTCACCAAAAGGATATCATGAATTATAGTAATGTCTTTAGAAAGTGTAACTGGTGCTATGATTTATCAGTAACAAGACTTTCAAAGGCATTTTTGTCAGCTGCGGAATGGTTTAGGGAGAATGGTTGCTATTGAATGCAACAAGGCAAATGCCTTAGTGTATTCTTTGATGCTGTGACACCATTCTATCTTCAGTAATCATTGTTTTTACCTAATAAACTGATCTAATGGCAGGAAACAAATATGTGAGGTATTAGTGTGATAAAAAGTGTATTAAATTATAATTCTGGTTGTGTTTACCAGTTTTGGAGATATATTTTTACAAAGCCCTTTCTCACTGTTACTAAAGACAACTGTCTTAGAGGTATGTGACAATTGCCTTCAAAAACATATACTCGGCCAAGATGTGTGCATGAGTCCCAACTGGTCTCCTTTGAACTCTCTTTTACAATATTTTTTAACACTGACATAGTTTTAGAATATTTTATATAGTATTGAATACAAAAGCTGTGCGATTTCTGATGGGATTAAACTGTTACAAACCTATGGTATCATGAAAACATAGTTAGCAATGCATTAAATACCCCTAATGCAGTGAGTATCACTTGCTCTAGCCTTAATTATGGTTAGACATATAAATTACTCACCAGTTGTGTAATGTTAGATATGTGCAAGGTCTTGAGTTAGAGCCCCCTTAGTCTCCCCCCCAAAAAACAAATAAAAACAGGAACAGCACTGAAAAGCCAGGGTTAAAGCCCTTAAATGCCAAGTATTCCTCAGGGAGGTGAGGTCAACATTGTGTAAGCAAGCCTGCCTGGTCCTGAAGTCTGAACTACAATATTTCATTTGGGATCCAGTCCTGCAGTTAGGGATTTTTTTTCCCTCTCCTTATTCTTGACCCGGGGGCGGGCCGTATGAACTGTCCAATCAGTGCTCTAAGGTAGGAGGGTTCTTCCGGTGTCGTGGCGCCAAAGTTCCTGTGCAGAACAAAAAGCTTGGGAGTCCGCCTTGGATAGTACTTGCTGCGACCTTAGTGGAAGAGACCCTGGGAGATCTTTAAGTCACGCAATGGTAACGTTGTGGGATGGGAGCCCTGGAATGGGCTGGAATCGGGGTGAGATCCCATTAGCAGTGGTCCGAACCGGCTATGGTGGCTAGAGCCTCCATGCTTAGCTTCAGTCCCTGAGGTGCTGGACTGGTAATGAGTCACTCTCTGTCCTTCTGGCCTTTACTGGGGCAAGACTACTTCTGGATTCCAAGAAACCTGTCCTCACTGTGGCGCCACCAACCCACAGCGCGGTCTTGGAAATCCTGCTGTCCTCGGACTGCTACCAGTCTGGGGAGAGGAAGAGGTTTGGGGAGACCCTGATTCAGCTGTGGGTCGGAGCTGGGTGCAGCTGTTGTGAGCTAGGTTCCTCGGCTCATTTCTGCCAGCAGCAGATCTGGAAGATCTGAAGTTTATTAATATCTGTGATGCAGGGTCTCATAGGCACAACTCCTTTCTTCACGCTTCTGTTTTTTAAATTTATAGCAATCTCTTAAATTTCTAGTGTGTCCTCACATTTCCAAACTCATGGTAGGTGTTGACAAAGGTTCGGAACATTTCTATAAATATGCTGATGTACCTCAGCGGTGGAGCCCTTGCCAAACACCTAGTGAACTCCTGGGTTCCATACGGAGCAATGCAAAAGAGGTTTATAATCTTGCTTAACTATTTAGATGACAGCCCTACTCACAATTAGACTAAGTGAGAACTGCCATAGATTTTAGCATTCTGAGAAAAATGGGAGGAACATTAAAGTATCAAGGCGGGGGAAAAGTGTACCTGCTAAGGACAACTTCCGGAAGAGGCTGCTTGTTAAACCCACGCTGAGAAACGCCTTAAATTGGGGCATTTGCAGGCACACGTGTATTAGTGGAAAGTGTATTAATCTCTGAATTAATGGCCATAGAACCTTGCCTGATGGTAATCGCTGTTTAAATACCGAAATGCTCCCTGAGGCAGACTTTAAAAGTAGCACTAGAGAAGAGGAGAATCCCCAAATAGAAATTGTGGAAGCACATCAATGTTGAGGCATAGAGGAGGATTTCCTGCTTAGGGTGAATCAAAGGAGAGTGGGAAGGAGGGGAAAGAGAATGGAATCATTAAGCCTGCCAGTAGTAACACCTGCAGCATAGACGGTACCCTGAAAGTCAGACTTTTCTTATGTTAATCACAAAGGAAGAATTGTGTGCTTGCTTGGTCTGTGCATTGGCAACACAGGTTTGAAGAAAGGAAGGGAACTTAATAATAGATAAATATAACTCATATTACCACCAATCATTTCACCTAAACATGAGGCAAAATCGGAAATTAAGACAATGTCTAGCCTGGGTGTACCTTTAAAAATAGCATGGGCTCCATCACTGAAATAGAAGGAAGGGTGGTTTCCACAGAATACAAAAGATTCCAAGGTGTGTTTGATGCTTTTTTTTTTTTTTTTTTTTTTTTTTTGGTGTGGGTACGAGGGATTGAACTCTGGATCTTTTGTTGCAAAGCAGGTGGCAGAACCACTGAGCTAAACCCAGGCCCTTGACATCTTTATTGTACAGGAGCTGAATTCTGGAATTTTGCTCAGAGCTATACAACCAACTTTTTTATTTTATTAAAAAAATTATGAGTCTTAGTACGTTGCCCAGGGTGGTGTGATTTTTTGATAGTGTTTGTATCTCACTGACTGTTGGGATACTTGTACTTGTCATTATGCCAGTTTGGGGTTGATTATTTATCATGATTTAACAAGATTTCAGTGATTGGGTATAGTAAAAATTAGCAGGGCATGGTAGTTAACACCTTTACTTTCAGGTACTTGTGAGACTGAGACAGGAGTATTACAACACCACGCCGGGGCTGGATAATAGATCAAGACTCTTTTTCAACATGAATTATAAATTCTGGGATTTATCTCCCCTGAGTGGTAACTTGTTTAACATGCCTTAAGCTCTGTGATAAAACTCCAGTACTGAAAAATAACAGAAAAATTACTTGGTGGAAATCTTACTTTGAGTTTTTTATTTTTTATTTCTTTACACACTAGTGATATATGGTCCAGTATTGCTCAGGATGGTGGACAGCAGTAATGATCACTGCTCTGTCAGCATCAGGACACCACTGGTGCATTCAATAAATTGTAAGAGATATTTAGTATTATTGTGAGTTTTGTATTATGTTACATATAGTTCCCCAAACAGCAGTCAAGCCAGTGTGTTGAGCAGGTTTAAAGGATCCAAGGGTTAGCAGTAATGTTTCCTTGCTTAGGCATATTCTATACATTTTCAATGCATTTTTTCCACTTCCTTTCTTTTATCATTATATTTTTCCTTTTTAATTTAAGTAATTGTCTATTTCAAATCCTCAAAAAGTCCTGTATAGAACATAAAACTCATCAGATTGTTTCCCTTTTTTGAGAGCTGTGTTAATCAGATTTCCCAGAGCAACTGAATCAAGAAAACAATATAAGTAGTATTTCAAAAGGGAGGAATACTTTTGATTTTGCAGATTTTTTCTTTGTTTCTTCGATTTATTTGATGCTTGTTATTATTATTAGTAAGAGGTGCCCCACTCCGATCATACTGTCTGGTTTGTATCGCTGTAACAGAATGACAGGATAGAGACTTTCAGACAGAGATGAGTAGTTTGAACATAAGACACCAGCAATGTGCATGGCTAAAGAGAAAACATTTCTATTCCTAGTTCTAATTTATGCTGGAAACCACTGTAACTATTTTAACCCTGGGTAAACATCTGCCTCTGTGTGCCAGTTTGCTCACTCATTTAATCCCACTTCTGTTTCTCTGACATTAGTGAGCTGAAGACTTGTATGTACAGAAGTTATCCTTCCAAAGCTCTTTCCCCTTTTCACCGATTTATATCTCTCTCTGGGAAAAGAGATAACCATAGGCCTTTGTTATTTGGTCCATAGTTACAATTGACTGCAATTGCTGAATCCCTGTAAGTTCTGTTATCTTCTGCACACCCTGAAGACAGACCTTCCATGTTGGTATTCTGGAGATGCCCATGGGAATGCCCTTTGACTCAGCTGAGTTAAAGCACAGAGCTTCAGTTCAAAGCACCCTTTGGTCTGGCTGTATCTCCCTGTGGGTGTCATCATACAGCATGGAGTAATGGAGCCTGTTCTGGTTTTTCACACTGGTAATATCTGAAATGTTGGTGCAGGTGGTGAGGACAAGAAGAGAATGTGCACGGACATACAGAGTACTTTGTGGAGAGTCACTGAGCTTGGATTTGGGGTGCAGAGCTAGAGATCTGACAGGTCGTGGGGATTTTGCCCTTCTCATACCTTGTCGTTCAGCACCTTAAGTGTCTGCTGCACAGGCTAAGTAAGTGATTTTCAGGCAGTGGTGGTTCTGCACATCAGAAAATGTCTCAAACCGGGGATTTAGCTCCGTGGTTCCGCTGCCCACCTCTCAAGGGCAAGGTCCCGTGTTCCATACCTGGGACCCCCCCAAAAAAAGGTGTCTCAAGTTTTTTCTTGTGACTGTGACACAGAGCATAAGAATATTTAGTAGCACATTGGGGAAGGAGGTCAAGGTTGTTGAGCAGTGTCACATAACAAATGAGATGGTTCTTATTAGAAGGAAATCTTGGCCACAAATACCACTAGTGCTGTGCCTGACAAACCTGCTGCAGGTGTGTTTTCTTTCAACATTGTGCCCCTGAGCATCTCTGCTGGAGTATACCCCTTGGCTTCATGTATATTTTTTATCCTGGCTATAGACCCTAGATACTGATGAGCACTGTACATGTGCTGTCCCACTGAGCCACACCCCAACCTCCTGTACATACATTTTTAGTGCCCAAGTGCTGTGTTAGAGAGTTCATACTGTATTTGAGTTGTTTCACTCAGTATGATTTTCCAGATTTATTTTCACTGCTGGATGTAGATGCATTTCTGGACAGGGTCTCCATTGTTTGTCTATGTAACATTTTCTTGGGTTTTCCAGTTATAGCAGGCAGACTTGTCTCATTCATCACTGATTTAAATGCACCTAGGAACATTCTCTTACTTGCTGTTCCTGAACCAGATTTTTAAAAAATCCCATGGATGCTCAGGAACATCTTTGTTGGTGCACAGAGTGTGTATCATTTAAACACTTATTATCCACTGTTCACACTACAGCGTTATAGTTTCTGTTTTCATAACCATCAACACTGGACTTTTGCTAATTTGACAAGTTCCATGCATTCATAGTGAAATTCAATTGCTTCTTTTTTATTTCTTTAGTCTTTTATGCCTCTTTTACACATTTCTTTTTCTATTTCCTCCATTAGACCTTAATTTATCTGCTTATGTCATGTTCTCATATTTCTGATGTACATTCTTTTTGTCATTTTTGTATAGGTGTTTCATTATGAATTGTAGAGAATCAACATGCTTTTTTGTGATCTTTTTCCACCTGCATTTATCTTTCATTGAAAATTTTCTTTGCTAACAAATTTAGTATCATGTTTTGTATCTTTTAGAAGTCACCTTAAAATTTGTGGATTTATACAATTTTATTTATAGATCAGCAAGTTATTTTCTTATTCTTTACTCCACATTTTAGGTTCATATTTATATGTTTTCTTGAATCTGTGGATAATGTACCTTTGAAAGTGTGTGGTACTAAGATAAGTTTCACATAGCATATAAAATGACCATTTTCAGTGAATCTACATAGGAGCACGGAGTGAATGGGGAAGTAGATTGGGACATCTGGTTGACTGCTTTCGAGGCAGAGGTTAGAATTATTTGCAAAAAAAAAAGATTTTTTTGGGCAGGGGTACTGGGGATCGAGCTCAGGACCTGTGCTTGTGAAGAAGGAGCAGCACCGCTGAACTAAATCCCTGGCCTCAATTTACAAAAAGTTTCAAGAAGCTCAAACTTCTAATTAAATGTTTGAAAGTGTACCTTCTTCTCGGGCTGGGGATTTAGCGCCAGCGGTGCTGACACCTGCCTCGCAGTCACAAGGTCCCAACTTTGATGATTCCTGGTACCAAAAAACAAACAAACAAACAAAAAAGCCTGGGC